GTGTGTGTGTGTGTGTGTGTGTGTGTGTGTGTGTGTGTGTGTGAGAGAGAGAGAGAGAGAGAGAGAGAGAGAGAGAGAGAGAGAGAGAGAGTAGGGAGATAGAGTCAGGGGAAGTTGCCAGGTGATATGTTGGGTGGATGTTGAATGCAGCCCTGGCAGCTGACCTCAACTCCCTTCCTTGTGTAATACAATAATTGATTGAAGTGTTTCATCTCGTGGAAGCATTTTGTCTACTCGTGACCTTGTGTGAACTTTCGAGTGAACTCTCTGTGTTTGCATGTTGAATTCCGGAGTTGAATCGTGTGAGTTCATTGCACTCTTGTGCACCCCTTCTCCTTGCATTGTTTCTATTCTCATACAGCACCCACTCTGCGATGCACCTTGCCTCCCAGCACCCTAGATCCCAATTTAGTTCTATCTCCCAACCCTGACAGTGTGCAACAGAATGAACCACATATACACCTCAAGCAGATAGCCAAAGCACATCAAACACACGTAGAGGCCCCTAAAACGAATGAACTCACTGCCAAGCAGATCCATGCAATTGAACCACCCTGGTTGCCAGAAGGAATGTCGCCTTTCAATTGCTGTATTGGATTGACAATCCAACGACCACAATTCTTTCCCCCTGTGAGCAGGGGTGGACCCCATTTCCTTGGAAGTCCTGCGGCTTCAACAAAACCCCAAAGTGTTAAAAACGGCCAGTTGCATTGCACCTGCAAACCACAAACTTCTTCAAAAAGTAGGAGAAGAGGTTTTATAGCATAGAAATAAGGATTGATTCCTCTGATGGAACGCACCTCATTGCCACCTTCAGCTCCAATTGCTTCCGCCAATCGTTGGATACCCCTAGCAGTAGCCTCAGCTCGTTGGAATATAGCCTCTGCCTCTCCTGCATTCATACACCATCAATAAACCACCATCAGCCACTTAAGCACCCAATACTAGAACAGATAGACCATAGAGTCATAGAACATATTCAGGGTTTTCAGTATCTCGGAGTCAAACATTGTTAGACTGATTCAAGCTTTTGCACTACTCTTACTGATTTGTTCTGCTGACCTCTCATCTCAGACAACTGTCCTCTGCGAGTGCGATAATCCTTTTGGAATTTTGTCATTTAGGTCTACCTTCAGTTGATGTTTTTTATCTTTTCAAAAATCTTCAAAATTTTCAAGTTCTTGTTCAATAAATTAATCAAATAGTCGCCAGCTGGGCTTCCCCGGGCTGCCCAGGTGGCCTGGCAGGGCCAGGTCCAGGGAAGGTCCCAGGCAAGGTCCCCTGCAACCCCAGCACAAAATTAAAAAAATCAGAAATCTTTGCAAGGAATATGAGCAAGAGCGATAGACAGATATCCAAATTGCAAAATCACGAAGTAGTCCAGATAGTCATGTACCAAGCAGACAGCACAATGCACCAAGATACCATCCAAATAAGAGCAGTACAATGAACTTGAGTGTCAATGCTGACGCTCTCTGGCCACACCAACATAGTATCCAATGCCACTCCTACTGATTAACGCGCAGCCTACACTACTCAGCCTACCTAGCCTATCTACGTTCATGCAACAGGATCACACCATACTTGCGGCGCATCCCGTGCGCGGGGTCACAGCACATGTGGCGCAGAGCGCACGTGCACGTGATATGGCGCATCCCCGAAATAGGGGTCAGTAAAAAAATTGGGAAGGGCAGGGTGTGATGACCAAACACGCCTTCTCCCTTCTAAAAAAATTTAGAGTGCAAACGAAAAACAATTGGGGCCACGTTAAGCCTAAAAACTGTGTATGCATGTTCTATTTTCCAATCTCTTTTACGAAGGACCCTTGCAGAAAACTGGCCAGAGCTCATCATGAAGCAGAGATGGTTGTTGAAGTGTGAGCCGGGCGTGGGCAGGCCGAATATATGCTCTGGATTTGAATTCAGGTCTGTGGAGCAGTTATGGGTTACTAACTTCGCTAGGCCAGATCTCTGGACGCAATTCTCTTTTTTTTGTTTTTCTTTTCTTAGGAATAGGTGAAGTGGCCCTAAATCTCGGTCCACTACTCACTACATCCACAAGTGACAAAACATATGGTGGCGTATGATTCCACGTTCTAGCGGAATATCCATTCTAGTTTTGCACATTCAGTGAGAAGCTCTGAGAACCACGTGCAGATCCCAACAGGGCCTGGCTAAGTTAGCGACCCATAACTGCTTAAACATAGACCTGAATTCGAATTCACACTATATATTCACGGCCCATTCGTGCTTCTGCAAGTACGGTGCCCACCCCTGCTTGGTGATAGGACCTTCGCTTACTTAGTGGAGGGACCCCTCCTTGCAGTGACCCTCCTTTTTATGTGAAAGAGGACCTTTGCCTGCTCTCTCTCTCTCTCTCTCTCTCTCTCTCTCTCTCTCTCTCTCTCTCTCTCTCTCTCTCTCTCTCTCTCTCTCTCCCGCGCGTGCGCGCGTCTATACAGACACACCCCACGTTAAAAAAAAAAAAATGTGTGCATCATTTGCGCAGCGCTAATTTGTGCAAGGCGCATGGCGCACGAGCACCCCGGGGCGCACCGCACCAGTGCACCGCACGTATGGATCACACCGAAGTTGAAGACCAGTGTACGTGACTTCATCACCAATGCAGACCTCCAGCATACACCACGTACGTTTCTCTCTCCTCCCCTCATCATACCCTGTCTCCCATCTGCATGCGCCTCCTACCCGAAGACCACCGTCACCATCACCGTGCCTGCGCCCCAGCAGCCCGGCTATGACCGCCGTGTGCCTGCTGCCTCAGCAGTGCCCCTCTCACCACAGCGCCCGTGCGCGCGTCTGGCCCGCACCCTACCGCAGCTGCTCATGTGCTACAGCGTGACCGCATTGCCCAGTCAGGCCAGAATGTCGTGCCCCTGGGCTCTCACTTTCCTATATGGAAAGTGTGCCCTGCCAATGGCTGTTCTTGGCCTCACATGTAGGGGCCCAGTAGCTTCAGGTTGGCCCAAAGTGTCTGCGCCCAGGCCCAGTTTCAGATACTGGCCTGGGCCTCGTGCAGTTAGGCACGTCAAGGTAGCCCTCCAGGCTCCAAGTGTTTCCCGCATTCTCCTTGGCTCGTGGTAGATGTGTAACAACAATGCTGCATTCTCATTGGTCCGCGGCCACCACGTGAAGTGTCGGCCTCCCACTGTGTGTGCCCAGGGCGCAACCACCTGACCCCTGGGCTCAACTGTACATTGCAGCCGTTGCTTCTGGAAGGAGCTACAGAAGGCTCACGTTGCTCTGTAACCAACTGGCGTGTTGCAACTGTCTGGTACCCCACATACGGAAAATGTCACAATTAGGCCTCACGTGGATATGACAGCCCGCCTTCACTTACGGCAGGCATGAGGTGGGGGGCTAAGCCCAGAACGTTTTCATGCCCGTGAAGGGCCTTTGCAGGGCTCAGTCCTCGCATTCCATCCCCCTTAGCTTCGAGAATCCGCTGAGATGCTTCTATGCAAATGCATTCCCCTTCAACTTCCGTTCATACTCTGCCACAATCTAAGGTGCTGTTCTGACGAGCTCCTCTCTTGTGAGCCAACGATCTTCTTTCGGATCCGTATGATGCCTGAATCTGACCCGGTACTCCCTCATAGGTTTCAGCGGTCTCCCTCTGCCCACAGGCTTGGGGACAGGCAGATCTTTGTGTTCCACAATGTCGTTGGCCTCCACATGACCATCCATGGTTGGGAGCAGCATCGATCTCCTTGATGGGAACTGATCAGTCTCAGCAAAAGGTGCAAGCTTGGAAGCACGAAATACAGGGTAAGTGCGCAGATGACCAGAGATTCTTATCACGTATGAGGGACCATCCAAATCACTACCCACAGTATCTAGAACTTAGCTTTCTAGAGATAACGAATTCCTGACCTGGTTCACTAGCCCATACCCAGACACATTCCCCTACCTGAAATGTGGTGTTCTCAGAGGTGATCATTGCCTCCTGAGATTTTCTAATGTGCTTGACAGCCTGCCACAACAGTTTCTCATACTGGACACCAAACTCCATGGTTCTAGGCGTTGCAGGTGGTCGGTTTTCAGGAAGGAGGAAATCTAGTGCGGATCTAGGCTTCCACCCCACATGCAGCTCATTAGGACTGATGTCGGTGGTGCTGTATACAGGATTGCTGTAGAGGCTGGCGATGAGAGGCAACTTCACATCCCAGTCATCCTGGCTGGGCTTGATGTAATGCCTCAGCAAACGCTGTACCGCGCAGTTCATCTGTTCCACTTGGCCGTTGGCTTCGAGATGAAGCCCCGATGTCGTTTGGAGTTGGCTGCCCATTTGCTCAGCAGCCTTCTTCCACATTTCACTTGTGAATCAGACATCTCTGTCACTAACTATAGACTTGGGCAGTCTAAAGTCACGCACCCAGTTATCCATGAATAACTTGATGATGTGCTCTGTTTTGGTGGTCTTTGGCACGGGGATCAGTCTAGCATACTTAGGAAACCTGTCTACTATGACGAGGATGTGCCTCTCGCCGCTCTTACTGGTCACGAGTGTTGCATACTGTAACGTGCAGAACAGAACAAGAACCGACCTTCCAATACAAAGTATAAGATAGCACAACGGAAGACTTAGATACCAGTGATCCGAACAATCAATGTTGTAATGCAGCCCTGAACATACATCATCATCATCGTTACATGGTGTGAAATGGGCCTGGCGCTTCACACATGAAGACTGCGCCAGCCCATACCATACACAGACGAAGACGAAGGGGATAGACGAAGAGGAGGGGGAAGATGGGAATGTCGTCAACACCAAGTCTTCGGCACAAGCCCAAATAGTCCCTCATCGAAATGTCTGAATCCCAAATGTCAAGTCTGGATCCAATGTCGTCAAGTCTCAAGTCACAACTCTGTCTCTCTCTGTCGTAGTCTGAGAAGTCAGGTGGCGAGAGAGTGAGAAGAGAAGGTGGACTTAGAAGACGAAGAAGAAGAACTCTCTCTCTCTCTCTGTGCCCAGTACTAACCTGTGAAGTTGGCGCCTTGATGCAGGTACCACGAAGATGGAGCTGGAGCGATGGCGCCACAGGTAAGTATCACTGGCCTCCGCCAGTCTCTCTCCCACTCTACGATCTACCACCTACCAGCGCCCAGCACTGAAGACTACAGCTACAGCTATGGCGCCCAGCGCCGAAGACTACAGCTAGCGCTAACTACAGCCTAGCGCTGAAGACTACTGCAGCGCTCATCCTGAGTGCTGCGACCGAAATCCTGAAGACTACCACTGCCTACTGACACTACCTGCCCGTGAAGTGCATGGGAACTTCCTATGTACTACCGGGTGTGCCTCCTGAGCCTGCCGAAGGGAGGCAAGGGCTGCAGCTGCAGCTCCTGCTCAAACTCGTGAGGAACAGGCTATTTCTGGCCTGTTCCACATCCCTGTTTACGTGCCTGAGTCTTAGGGGCAGGTCGAAACAATGAGGGCCTGAAAATGGCCCTCCGTTTCAGGCTGAAAACTCTGGGTCTGAAAAGACCCAGAAATAGGCTGAAACGGGGTAGGGCCTGCAAGGCCCTCGTTTTTCAGCTTCGAGGCTGAAACGAATGGGGCCTGTAAGCCTTAAGTTTTAGGCTTTTAGGCTGAATGTCCGAGACGAGCCCTGCAAGGCCCGTGTGGCAACGTAGTATGCCACACCCCCCCCTCCTTGAAGAACCGAGCTTACCTGCGAGGGCGAAGCTGTCTGTCTGAGGGAGGGACCACAGTCCGGGTGGGAGGGGCTGGTCGTGAAGCTTCCTGAGCTAACCTCCGCTTTTCATAATGCGCGTAGATCAGCGGTGCGGATGCTTTCAAATCTGCGCCTGAAATCCACCGAGTGTCGTTGCGATCGCATGCTTTGAATGTGACTTTGTACTGCCGCGGCTTGCTGCCGTACTTGCGATCGGAGATG